ATAGATGTATAACGCACTTTTACAAATTTATACCGTTGTGTAGCGTTTTCGATATCTTTTATTCACGATAGAAATGATTTAGTTATAGTTTGGAGCATGGAGCACTGCATTGCAAAAAGCAGGGGCGATGTTAAAAGAAACGACTTGGAATAAACAAACATTGAGCAAAGGACAGTATAAAAGAGCGCATTTCATAAAAGGAGTCATTCGATGGACAATCAATAGAGACAGAAATAAAATCGCATAAAATGCCATCTCTGGTTTCCAATTTTTATCTATTACTCTTCATATTTTGCAAAAGCAAGGTCAGCATATAAACGACTGAGTTAGTTGCATGTGAAAAGAAAAATAGAGGTCTAGATTAACAACATTTTTTAATTTCTGTAGGTATGTAAAGATGTAATCTATATATGATTATACAAGATATAAATCATGTGTATTCACTCACCAACTTCTTCTCTTGACCTGTGACAAGACTGCAAACCTTGAATGAGACTTATGATCTTCTGCCAAACCAGTCAGGCACCGCCGTGCCCAATGATTGCTAGACGACAAATTTATAGGAAGATATGCACACGTGACTACTTGATGTTCTCTGTTTATACGAGTACCATTCAACGTTACTCAGTGTAAAAAGTGGAACCAGGAAGTTTAAGAAGAGTTTAAGCACGAGTAAAAGAAGATAACAGTGAACGGTTGAAAAAAGGGATGGCCTGAAAGGAGAAGTAAGGCAGAGGGATATAGTGTTGGCAGGGGTAGCAATATAGGGGTTCAAGAAGATCGGGGCACACCCCAGCATCATCTTTTCGAAAGTTTAGCATCGTCTTGGATGAAACATTTTGTTATTACTTCGAAGAGATAGCTACTTCACTTAGCCAAACGTGAAATAAGCACGACCTTCAAAAGCATTACTTAGCCACCCTCCAGAGATGCATGTCTGCATTCTAAATCCATAGATAGAAAATTCTAAATCTAAAGATGCTGGCAGTTACTTCAGGAGTGCTCCTGCCAAGATTTCGAGATGTATCGCCTCAGTGCAAATGTCTCATACAATAATTTTGAAAACTTACCGTTTTGTGAAATTTCTCAATGAGTAAAAATTAAGCACGCTTTGTAGAAAAGCGTTCTCCCATCTTTTAGACAAGACCAGAAAGCTGATTAAAACTACTTATCTTTAAACAATTACTTTCGAATTCCACAATTAATTTCATTACATCAGTGTAATTTCAATGCGTAAGCAATGTCAAGTTTCAAAATCCTACGCCATCCTGTTCTTCTCACAAAATTTTGGTTTAGAGCACGTCCTGAGCGTCTGTTGGAAAAACCCTCCATTGAAATTACGTAGCAAGGTGAAAAATAGTATGTGACGTCAAAAATTTCCTTGCATTTTATAGTGGCATTAATGATTCCAAGACGTTCGACTGTAGATGTTATAAGAAGAAGATATACAGAGGTACCAAACTTTCGTCTAATACTAGTAAAACTAAGGTAACAGCAATATCTTTGAACCTTTCTATGACGCAGACCGACTTGGAAGCGGTTATAGCGCTTGCACCGCAACACTGAACTTTGCGAGAGCAAGTAAAGCTTTCCAAAGATTTCAATCCCCTAATAAACTATAAAATCATTGTCTTATTGTTAAATTTCAGTAAATTTCAGTCAAGATTGTATACATCAAGTATTTGAAGAGCATGTAACAATAATAAATGACTTGTGCAGCGCTTTTGTTCCATTTGCGGAACCTGCGTTGACTGCAATTCTGCACGCATTGATGGGGTGGCGGATAGGTCGATACAAGAAGAAATATATCAGCCTTACTTTCGTTGCACAAAAAAACCGGGGGTAGAAAATTTATATTAAAAAGACACTCCTCAATACACCACAAACCAAAATACGACAATCATGTACTGGAATGCAAACTATAGGAGACGGAGGAGGGCTGAAACGATTGAAACAGTCCTTCCTCTAAATGATTGAAGCCGTCGGATCAAATCAACAGTACGATGCGAGTAACGATTGTTTTCTGGCGTTCAAAAGGAGGTGACCCCAAATTTCCGTCCCCTCTCCCCCAATCTTCCCACCCTGGCTACGCTATTGCAAACCGGCTAACAGTTTAACAAGCATTGGTTTTTAAAAAGATGGATTTTGCAAACCATTTGGGGTACATAAACGAGTATCTACTCTCCTTGAAACCTTTGAATACTTTGTTATTATAGTTGAATAAAAGGGGGGGAATAAAACATTTAGGCCACGCCCTTTTTAAGGCTCAAAAACGCTCTTTTACAAAAAAGCACGCCAATTTTTCTGAAGGGCACGCTCATAACTAACTTTTGGCTGCGTAAAGGCAGTTTGAAAATCTCAGGATTACATCACAAAAAGTACGCTGCCAAAAATTACCACTTCCCAAACATTTTCTCATAGAATTTAACGAAATACAAAATCGATCCTGCCGACAACTGGGGTGACGTGTCCCCACCCCCAGTCCCCCCTCCCGTAGCGCCGCTACTGTATGCAACAGCTAACTTCAAATAGACACACTGAGATAAACGCTAAAGTTAAAATGCTGAACCAAATAATGTTTTATGTATACATATCTGATACGAGGCTTGATAGCGCCCCGTTGGCGCCACGGGAAAGATTAGGGTTGACATGTCCACCCAAGTTTCTCCAATGATTCAATTTTCCTATCATCCAAAATCATCGAGAATATGGTAGGGGAGGAATGGTTGAAAAGAGGTTTGAAAATGTCACCATTTGTTACATAGTCAAGGCGGGGTTCTAGCCTTGCGACTGAACGAATGCATGTTGGAGCATGCGCAAATTGAATTTGCCCATTTACTGCGAATTCGCAACCATTCGCTGAGTAGTTCAATTCAGTTGAAATACTGAGCGACTGGTCGCATTCGCCGATTCGCTGATTTGATGACTCGCTTTCGCCAAAGTCGCGCGTCCAAAGTGAAATGGAATCTGGCCTTAAGTCTTCCGTAGAAGAGGGAAGTCGAAAGAAGTCTAAAAGTTAGCTAAATGGTATTTTCTTCTTAGTTTACATTCCAGATATCAACTTGTTTATATTTTGAAATTGCCAGCAAAACAGTTTTTTTGCATGGCTAACTAGTTTTAGCATTTCGCTTCCTTTGTTACGTGGACAGTTAAGAAAGCAGTTGTAAAGAAAACGTTTGCAGATGCTATCATGACGTCTAGTGGTCCCACTGTGGATAAAATATCACCCAATGCAATGTCTATACGTAGAGCATTCGTACCAAATGAGCTGTGGTATAATTTACAAGTTCTCAAATCATTGGCATGTTGGTTT